AGAGAGAGAGAGAGAGAGAGAGAGAGAGAGAGAGAGAGAGAGAGAGAGAGAGAGAGAGAGAGAGAGGGGTTTTGGGTACTGCCTTGTGACCAATATTTCAAGATCATTGTGTAGCAGAAACATAAAACGCCGGCTCTGCCGTACGGAGTGAGCTGTAGGTTGCTACGTGGTTCTACAGTGAGCGCTACTTATACATAGTGAAAACGATGCAGGCGGGTGCTAATAGCACTGGGCGGGGTTGCGAAATTTGCGACTCCCGCGCGAAAAGTGGAACTTGAATTTGTTGAAGGCTACTGGCGCCAATGCCGCCATGGCAAATTCGAAAAATAGCTACCGCGAAATCGGCGCCAAGAAGGTCTGAATTGGACAAAGCGGCCCGAAATCGTAACGGACCACCGGCGGGTAAAGTGGAACGAATGCCGCGCGAAAACGCGGCAGGATACCGCCAAAAATAGATATGTCACAAGAGTGAGTGAGTATACCCGCGGGCATTCAATGGCTCAAGATGCCGCTCAACCACTCCTTTCAAGCTCAAGGAAACTCTCATCGAAACTCCCAAAAAAAAGCACTCAACGGCTCCACCACTCATTTCCCGCTCAAAGAAACCGTCGCCAAATTCCCGCAGAGAAAGAAAAAGGCTATTCGCGAGGTGATTACTCAGGCTACCTCGTTCCTGAGCGCCGGAGCGGTGGTTCTAACGCGTGAAGTCCATAAAGCACAGGCCGTACATGCCGGGCTCGATGATTCGTCTGCAAGAGACGTTCCACACACGGTGAAGTGAAGTCACCGACTAAGGAAAGTGAGCTGGCGAGAAAGAGATACTTCTTCGTTCTGCAAATCGAACTCTTGACATTCAAGCTTGTACAGCAGCTACGAATGGGGGCAAACTTAGGAAACCCACGAGGCTGCGAGTACGGAGAAGCGAGACGAAGTGAAGTGGCCGATCACGGGCTGCAAGCGGAGAAACGCCTTCCTCCTTCCATAAGGAAGTAAGGCATGTATCTGACGCTGATCTGGCAGACCCTTCAAGTCACACAGGACAGAGTGCGATCAGAGAGAGAGAGAGAGAGAGAGAGAGAGAGAGAGAGATGGGGAGCGCGGATTGAAGTGTTACTGTCCATTTAACAAGAGCGGACCTTTGAAATTCCCGAGTTACGCCAAGTACTACATAATAGCATTGTCGCAAAATGTCACACAGTGCACGAGCAGGCCATTGGGTGAAAGCATGCTTTCTTCAGGGAGTGGTGTTTAGCCAATGTGAAGCACGCAGTGAGAGAGAGAGGTGGCAACGGAAGGCGCTCAGTACCTTTGCCTCTGTCCATGTACAGCGTTTCCCCCTGCTCCAGTGCGGCAGCCATGGATGAAGACGTGCCTGCTACGAGTTGCTGTGATCGCGCTTTCGCTCTGTCCATGTACAACGTTTCCCCCTGCTCCAGTGCGGCAGCCACGGACGAAGATGTGCCTGCTGCGAGTTGCTGTGATCGCGCTTTTGCAAGCACCTATACACAGCATCTGCATACGCGTGTGGCGCGCAAACACACACACACACACACACACACACACACACACACACACAGGGGGAGAGAGAGGGGGAGAGAGAGAGAGAGAGAGAGAGAGAGAGAGAGAGAGAGAGAGAGAGGGTGAGATAGGGTACGGCCGATGTGGTAGATGTCGGCACAGATTCTGGCCTGTAACGGCAGTGCAGGGTAGCAGCGTAGTGGCAGTGCGGCTTGGTTAGGAAGGTGGACCAAAGGATGCAAGGGGAGGCATTTGGATCACCGAATATCGCACAAATACACTTAGGAAAGCACAAGTGCAAGTAATCCCTTGTTGAAATCGGATCAGGCAGCCGAAGTTTTGATCCGGGCCGGCGGATGAAGGCGATAGAGGGAGGGGCGGTGTCTATACCGAATTATTCACAGCGCGCCAGAAAAGGAGAGGGCGTGCCCACGGGGCCGAGGGGTGGAGGACGTCGATGCGGGGGACGCCCCGAAGGGTCAATTGCTTGATGAGATAACCGCTTAGGTGGACTGGGTCCCTGTCTGCTTTTGGGGACTGCTGTCTTTTGAAGTGTATCCGACGTCAGGCTGCTGGCACGTCAGGATGTGCCTGTGTGTCCGAACCCTAACGTCGCACAATGTGACCCCCGCCGGCCTGAAATGGACTTTCCTGGCCCTACGGACTGGGTTCTTAGGGGGGGCGGCGACCGGCAGGCGCAGGCGGGTTCTGGCCGAACATTTTCAAGCACGAACTTTGACGATTTTTTGCGCTCAGACAAATTGGCAAAAAACTCTAAAAATTTGATATCCCATAGATTAGGTCGTGATCTTTCTAGGAAAAATATCAGAAAAATGAAAAAAAAAAAAATAACGGTGAACTAAATGCCGCGCTGTTTTGTCACATTTTTATTTTTGCTACTCTACCACGTATGGGCCAATGGGAAACAAAACCCAACTTTCGCGATTTTTTGCAACCAGAAGGATGATCCAACAACTCTGAAAATTCGAGGGTCTATAGATTTGGTTGTGATCTTTACAAAAAAAATATTAAAAAAATAAAAACAAATCATTTGAACCGTGGAATAAATCGCGGGGGTAATTCAATGCATTTTCGAAATTTGCCACTGCGCCAGTTCCCCCCACTGTACTACCGGTAGCCCTCATGGACCTGTGGTCCTGTGCTACCGGTTCCCCCTAATTTTTTTTATTTTTCTCTCAATTTCACCTCACACTACCTACCTACCGCTACTCCTAATTGTAGGCATACGGGAAACCCCGTAGCAACCAGAACCGTGTTCACGAGACAACATGCGGGTGTTGCTCCCGACCTGCAGGTGGGCGATACTAGCTAGGGGACA